TAGGCTTTCTTAATCAAAACTCTGGCCCTGTAAATCGTACTTTGTGTGAAAAGGAATAAAAGTTGTCAGAGTTTTACTGCCTCTAGTGTTCATTTCAACTGGAAACTGCACCGATTCGTACGTATAGTATGTTTTTTGAGTTTTGGAGAAATGTAGGTAGAGGCGTGTAGTTCCAATGAGCCTGAGTAGCATTATACACACTTTCACCTGTTCTTGCATTACTTTCCATTTCATCTCAAGTCCTCTTATTTTTTAACCAGCTGTTTTTAACCATCCAATCAATTCCTGATGTATACAGTCAAGTTCTGTCTTGGGTTCAGGTTCACTTGCTTTGGTTTCTTTATGTAATGCAATGACATGCAGAGGATTCAAAGTGTGACAAATACTTTCTCGTGGCTGCTGTATAATAAAACACTCATATAATAGTGCGCTGACCCAGTGTCCGGCGGGGTCTGAGAGCTGTGACTGGCGTTCTGTCTGATATCAGAAAGCGGGGCCGGTATGAAGCGAAGCGTGAGGTTGATCACACACCTGCTGCAGTTCAGCTTCCTTTGGCATCTGCGGCCGCTGCCATTCTCCTTCCTGTGTGTCAAGCCTCTCCTCCTTCCTGGCTTCCGGGGTCGGCCGCTCCATCTGTCCAGAGCCGGCGGGGGTCCGGGCAGCCCTACAGAGGCGTGCTGAGAGGGTCCCGGACCCTTGTGGTGCGTCTGCCGGGGTCTCTCTGTGTTCCTCTAAATCCAAACACTTCCATCGCGAGATTCCTGTGCCAGCTGGCCGGACTCACCTCCTAAAACCAGCGAGGTAACGTCCACCTCCACGTCTGCTGCTGTCGCTCTCCTTACTGACTATCCTTCAAAACTCATCAATAACTAATCAAGCACTTCCTTTTGTTTGAGTGACTTCATCAAGTTAATAAATGGTTTGGTTTTCAAATGAAGTGCCAAGGATTTGTAATTTTATTGAATGATTTATTTTTATTTTTTTAATTGTGTGGGAAAATGTGATTATCCTCCTGCAATAAGTCAAAATCCCTCACAGAACCACATGATTTTATGACACATGAAAATAGTGTTAATTTTCTTCACTTTAACATTGAGCTAATGTATTTCCACCACATAAGAAAAAAATGTTTTGGTAAATCATGAGTGATTCATAAAATTCTAAATTATGTCATGGTTAAGACAAAAAGTCGAAATTATTCAAAGCCCATTTCCGCCAAATAAGAAAGAAAATCATGCTTTGGGAGTATGATTCATGAGAGAATCATAAAATCTGAAATTATGAGATAAAATGTCATAATTATGAAATAAATTGAATCATAATAAAAACAAGTCAAAATTATGAGATTGCCTCAAAAAAGTCATAATAGAATGTCACAGTTATGACATACTAAGTCATAATTATGAGATAAAAAGTTGAAATGAGATTATAAATTGACCAAAACAAGATATTTTAGAAAAAAATGGAAATTATGAGCTAAAGCATCATAATAATTACAATATTATGTAACAATATCTAATGTATGTAATAATTGATTATTACATAACAATTAAACATTTTGACTATTTATGTCATTATTTTGACAAAAAAAAACAACAAAATTTTTTTTTTTCAATATTCCTGTAATGCTGTGTCTGTCTGTGTGGACTTTTAGTTTGTAGTTTTGTGTAGTTCCTGTTTCTAGTTCCCTTGTTATAAATTACTCCTGGTACTTTGTAAGGTACATATTTACATTTGCGTATAATAGTTTTAGAATCGGCCATTTAAAAAAACATGTTTGTTGTCTACTGATCTGAATAAGGAGGGGACGTATGGCCCAGAGGTGGGGAAATATGATTTCTGTACAGCTCAACAATAATTTTAAACAGAAATTAAGAAAGTTTTATTTTTGATCAAATAAATACAGCCTTGGTGAGCATATATGTGTCCCTGGAGCACAAAAGCAGTCTTAAGTCGCTGGGGTATATTTGTAGCAATAGCCAAAAATACATTGTATGAGTCAAAATGATTGATTTTTCTTTTATGACATTTCTGAACAAGAAAAATAAACAGCAAAGCTTGATTTTAGCCATCGGTTGTTGACTGCACTTGCTGTACCGTATCTGTTTGTGAATCAGAAGAACGGAAATAAACAGGAGAGAGGACATACAGTCAGTCAGACAGAAGTAGAGCAGTATTAACGGCTGAGCTGAGGTTTTTGAATAGGTGTGCTGGCAGACACTCGTCTGGTTCTGACTGTGTTTGGGAGGTCATTCCATTATTGGACGGCAATGACAGAAGCTCTTGGATCTGGACTGGTGAGCTGCTTGCATTTGGACAGTAAACTGAGCTGGATGGAGGCTCCAAGCTGCCCACAGCAACTGGGCTCAGCTTCTCCACTGGACTTCCACTTATATTAGCAATATTTACATTATTGCAACATGAACATTAAGAATGCTGGATGAAAGCTTTATAGTGTATGTTTAAGTACACAGAAAAGCCTTGTGGGCAGAACTCTGACATTCATATCGATCTGTTCAGGAGACTCAATCCTGTTACTCGCTCCCCTCCCCACCGTTAACAGTATCGTCTTATATAAAGGCATACAAATATATAACTAACAATTAGAGGTCATACCTTAAAAACCAAAACACATATTTATTAACTACTAATCTGAATGATGCTCCCGTCATCTTAAAATATAAATATATTTTTTTGTAATATATATTGATATTTTAAGATGACAGGAGCATCATTATTGGCCTTTTATTTATGGTAGTAATGAAAATGTAGTTAATATATTAAGGCGAAAAAGCCAAAGAAACACACAAAATTATACGATTTTTATAAAGAATTCTCTTCTGCTCACCAAGCCTGCATTAGTTTGATCCAAAATAGAGCAAAAGCAGTAATATTGTGAAATATTTTTACTATTTAAAATAACTGCTTTCTGTTTGAATATCTGTTAAAATGTAATTTATTGCTGTGATTAAAGCTGTATTTTCAGCATCATTACTCCAGTCTTCAGTGTCACATGATCTTCAGAAATCAGTCTAATATGCTGATTTGCTGCTCAAGAAACATTTATTATTATTATTATTAATATTTAAAACAGTTGAGTACATTTTTTTCAGGATTCTTTGATGAATAGAAAGATCCAAAGATATAAATATTAATACAATTTTTTTTTTTACTACATTTGATCTTAACCAAAACCTTTCAGGCGTTATTTTCATAAAAGGCCAAAACAAATTACACAACATAACATAAACATCTAATATAAATACGTATTATATTAAATATTAATATATACTATATTATTTTCACTACGCTTAAATCACTTAAATGTGCACAGAACATTTTAACCAAAATCTTCCAGGTATTTAAAGAACATTTATTTTGGTATTTTGGAATTAGTGATATTGGATCAAGTGCAGATGTTCAAAAACAGGGCTGGATGGTATATTCACAATTATTTAGTTGGTGATATGACATTAAGCAAAATCATAAATATCATAATGTTTTTAATGCACTTTTAATTTTCTTTATATATATATATATATATATCCACCATATCATCCAGTCTTATTGAGAATGAGTCCATGAATAAGCTTCTTACATGTGTTCTTACTCATGAGTTTATCTGTGAATCTTCCCCGTCTGACTGAAGGAACAGACAGGAGGTCTGAGAGCGGTTTGAACCCTCAGCCGTTCAGTGGTCTCACGCTGTGTTTGGACAGCAGGGCTCCGTCCAGTGAGTTAACATGAAGACAGACCCGCCGGCTGCTTGCTGAGACGCACGCGTGTCGAGTCTGTGAGCTCTCGGGCTCCGACCTCCTGCTCAAAGCACAAAGACAGACGCTCTTCCCTCAAATCAGATGAAGCTCCACGTGTGTAGATTGTATTGAGCTGTCTGTGACACTGTGCCCTGTATCTGCCCCCAGCGCCCAGGGCAGCTTTGATTACTCTTATCATCCGCCTCTCAGGGGATTGAGGGGTATTTTCATCGCAGGCTCTGTTCCAAAACCATGTGTGCTGCCTACAAAGACAGCATTCTAAGGCATCATATGTACACTTCCAAAGCTGTTCCACAAGACAGGCAGCAACACTATCCTGTCTTATAAGATACCTTAATTTGACTAAATTTGAAAGCAACATACATGCATCCGTCATCTTTATTGGCTTTGATGGTTCCATGAAAAACCAAAACATCCATGGAACCTTTCTAAGGTTCTTTATAGAGAGGAAAAAGGCTCTTTAGATTTTTAAAATATTTTTCACACTAACAAAAAAATGTGTTCTTTTTAAAAACCATTCACTGAATGTTTCTTTAAATAGGGAGCCCGAAATGATTCCTATATGGCATCACTGCCCAAAACAAAAAAGGACCTTTATTTTTAAGAGTGTTTGTGGAAAAGTCCATTATAATGCATTGCGGTTGTCAATTATAATGCAACTCCATAAAAACCAAAAAAGTTTATTTTAAATATGCTTAAAAATCAGTCAATCAAAAAGTATCAAAAGTAGTCCAATGTTAAAAAAAACCCCCACAATTTTATCCAATGTTTGTGTATTTTTATGCCTATTACAGTAATGCATGGTATAGCAACATGCAACAGCTCTGAAATCAATACACTCAGTGAACAGCATTCAGATTAGTTAATAAATATGTTTTTAAGGTATCACCTCCAATTGTTATATATGTTATATAGTTATATATGTATTTAATTATGTAGGTATTTGATCATGGACAGACATTCAAAGGTCACAGTTTCCTGAGAATGACCCTTATGTCGGAATTGTATTTTAACTTCCTTTTTTTTTTTTTTTTTTACGTAAAATACATTTGTCACGAGAACAATATACATGAAAGTATATTTATAACCTACATTTATTTATTTTGACTTCGGCCCATCTTATGGACATTACCAAGGACGAACGTGTGAGAGATTTATTCCGGTATTCATGTCTGATCTCCTCTCATGTCCGTCAACATGAACTCAATATCATCTGCTCGTCCAATCAAATTACTCCGATTTCTAGTTTCCTCGCTGTCTCTCTGCTTCGTCCCGAAAGTCAGTCTGCCTACAAAAACGTGCATTTGTATCAATGCAGAAATGAAGAGGATTGTAAATGATGGAGACGCTTGACGTGACATTGAGCTGAGAGAGTGCGCACAGGTGAGACCGTCACTTATTATGATTCACTCTTTCTTTTGTCTCAAACTGAATGGATTCTTAACCTTGAAAAGACAAGGACAGCCGATCTGAATCATCCTGCAATGTCCACCAAAGATTTCTGCGAACTGTAAGACTATGATTATTCACTCTTTTAATTTTGCACTCTCAGAGAGAAAAAAAAAAAGTACAAAAGCTGTCACTGGGGCGGTAAAAGATGCATATTAGTACCTCAAATGTACCGATTATTACCTAAAGGGAACATAGTACCTAAATAAGTAGTACCTTTTGAAAAGGACAGCTTTTCTGAGAATGTAGGATAGCGATAAGAAGCTGCTGCTGCAAAAAAATAAAGATAAGCCTTTTAAATAAAAAGGACATTTACCAATGATACAAACATGAAAGCTTGAAAAAAAAAGTTATTAAAGAAAGTTACTAAAGAGAGAAAGGAAGGCAAGCCGCGCTGAACGCGCACGCCTCTGGAGTGATTTATTTGGCAAATCAGGACACAATGAGCGCATTATGACGCTCTAATAGGAGAGAGTGTTTGGGGAGCCGCTAATTGGCTGTGATTGAGTTGCAGGCAGGGAGGGAGAGACCTGGGATGCGCGAGCGTCTGTCAGCCAATCATCCGCTAATCAGAGAGCTCAAATTAAAAGAGTGCGTGTTTGGAGTCGAGGACGGGATGATGGCGCAGAGCCGGAGTGATTGTGAACTTCACCAGTGCTCACAGTAATGTGTGAGTCCTGCATGCACCACACACTTTAATCATTCTGAAACTGTGCTGCAGCCTCATACATGTGAACGAGGTCTAGTGATTCATTTTAAAAACATTACAACGACACAGATATATGAGCATGTATGAAGGCAGTGACGCATGTATTGTATGAGTATGGATGTGGTTTGTCAGATGCTGCAGTGAATGTTGTGCAGTAGGGGTCAGTGTTTCACTGCACACACACACACACACACACACACTACAGTAGGCTATTACCTTTCAAATCAAATCTGTTCAGTCTGCACTCAATGAAATAATTCAATGCGACTAGCATAACATCTTAAAACAATTATATCTTTGTTTTGTATGTTTCCCCCCTAAATCTCAACTTTTAATGCACTCCATTAAAAACCTCACAAAATAACTCAAATTAATTTAGAAACTGACAGTATATTGACTGTGCTATTTCTTTAATACATTCGTGTTTTTAAATTCTGCTTACAAACATTTAAAAAATGCACCTATGTGATATTTGATTCTGTATGAATTTCTTCATGAATCTTTTAGTTACAAATATCCGATGTTCCATGTTTAAATATGTAATTAACAGGAATATTTAAATGTACATATGTACTGGCATAAATACATAATATAAATAAAAAATAATACTAATATTCAACATCATAGTTTATAAATGTGTATGTATATATATATATATATATATGTGTATGTGTGTGTAGTTGTTTTTTTGGTGTTTGGCTTAGTGTTATGTTAGAATCATTATTATACTCTTATACCTTTTGTTCTTTAATATTTTGAATTGTTTTTAGCTTTATTTTTTGTTTTTCATTTAAATGTTAAGTTTTGAAATTTTCTTGTATGCATTTGTCATTTTTATTTAATCTCTTTATTTTTAAAATGTGTATAGGTAGTATTTATAAAGTTTTAGCTTTTAGTTTTGGATCTGTTTTTAGTTGTTTTAATACTACAATTGATTGCTTCTGTTGTCCTCATTTGTAAGTCGCTTTGGATAAAAGCGTCTAATAAATGACTAAATAAAAATAAATAAATAAACATTGATAATGATTAGATCTTCATTAAAGCATTAAAGGGAATTTACAGTAATAGTTAAACATGAGCTGATAAGATGACAGGGATATAGGCGTGTATTTATTTAAACATTTTTTTCTGCTGTTTATTATAATTTATAATTATAATAAATTATTAGATTATTTAATGCATTCTCTTAATACAAGAGAAACGAATTGAATGCATGTATAGAAATGAGTGATTCATATCACAGTAAGTGCAAATCTAAATGTGTGTGTTTGTAACTCTATCCTGAGCTCAGCTCAGCTCAGCACGCGCCTCACGCTGATGGTTTTCATTGTAAATGTTTCTTCTGCAAACCTTGAGTGTTCAGTGTAAGAGTCTGAAGTGGCTCGGCCTCTAAATGGGATTAATTCTCAGAGAACGTCCTTTAGTCTTCCTCGTGTAATTTCATTTGCGGCTCCACACGGTGAATAACAAAACAGGGGCTCTCAAACGCCACAGCCTTCACATGACAAACACACGCCAGCCGTCATTTCATCGCCACTATACAGTCCTATTCAAACCAGAGGGCTCTTTTTTCTCTAAAACATTATTTACTCGTTGTTTTCAATATTTTTTGATAATGCATTGTTTAAAATACCCTTAAAACAACAACAACAAAATTACCTGGGATGCACCAGTTTGCAACACAAAGACTTGATTTCATTTCAAAGCTTTATTTGTTTTCGTGGCACTGGCTGATTTGTTCATTTATTTGTTTTTGTTTTATGCCACACAACAAAATAACCTGATATAAGTTCATCTCTCACACAGCTTTGCTTCCCATGTTCTTGTTTTTAAGATGTTTACTGGAAAAGGAGAGAGAAATCTGATGTTTTACATGCCAGAAAAACAAACCGAGAAAACGTGAAGAAAGAGACTGGTCAAGCGCAGCTCTTCCTGAAGCT